TTTCCTACACCTGTCTGTAGGTGAGTGACAAAGGTGGTGGCTTTCCCTTTCGTAGGACCGAGAACCTTTTCAGCTACATGTACTCCACTGCTCCTGCTCCGCACATAGGAGACTACATACGGCCTCCACTGGTAAGTAGAGATACAGGCCGTGGGTTGCCAGGATTTAATTTATTAACTCGATTTCACTCCTACATACGTCGAAAATATTCTTTTGCAGGCGGAAAGACACTGTTAATTGCACCATATGCCATTTGGTTGCATTTCCCTACAACCTACAAGCATCAAAATGCTTATCTAGCCTTTTATTTAGAATCTCTTTTAAAGATCCTGGCATAATTTTTTCCCTCAAAAAATACATAAAATGAACTTGACAAAACACACACATTTTTTTCCCCACAGAACAGCACTGCTGCTTGCAGTGTGACAGAGAACAAAGCCTTCTTAAACCCATGATCCCCTCTCTCTCTCTCTGTACAGGCTGGCTTCGGCTACGGACTGCCCATCTCTCGTCTCTACGCCAAGTATTTCCAGGGGGACCTGCAGCTCTACTCCATGGAGGGCCACGGCACAGACGCTGTCATCTACTTGAAGGTGAGCCAGACGTGGTGATCATGCATGAAACTGCTGTGACAAGTCTGCAGCACACTGTGGAGCTAGCGCAGGTATGACAGGATATGTGTAATTACATCTTGTCTTCTTGTCCCTCCAGGCACTGTCCACAGACTCCATCGAGAGGCTGCCAGTGTACAACAAAACTACTCTAAAGAACTACAAAGTGAGCCAAGAGGCTGACGACTGGTGTATACCCAGCAAAGAGCCCCTAGATCTGAGGAACTATAAGATGGCGAAGTGAAAATCTCCTCCAGCCCTGGTGCTTCAAGCATACATACAATGAAGCATTTACATTTTCTGTATTCATGTTCCTGTGCCATCATCTGTCAACGCAGATGTGGGCACCAAACCTTTCTCTACTGAAAGAGTCATCTCCAGACTATAGCCGACAAAGTGTCCTCTTATATTTTAGTCTGGCTTTAGCAGTAGCATGTTCACGTTGTTTTCAGTCCCTGTTGTCCTTTTGGCTTCTTCATAAGAAAATAGAAAACAGCTACTAACAGACATCTGAGTCATCTCCAATATTGCATTCACAGGGAGTGTAAGTGGACATGCAGCATCCAGTAATGTGCAGGAAGAGACAGAGACAGCATCCAGCACGTTATGGGTGTGGGAATATGAGTAGACCAATGCAAAGTAACAGGGCAGGGTCTAAATATTCCAGCAGCGACGTATGGAGGTATTCTGTTGAACAGGGGGGAACCTGTTGTTGAACAATTGAAAGAGGACCAGATCCTATCCTGTAGTAAATGGATCACTCATGCCTTACAGTAGCAGCTTCACTCAAAGGCTTATTTCATTGAAATACTTGAACTATTTAAAATGATACTCATGTTGCACCTTGTTAAATTTGAAGTACTGTAATTGTAGATTTGAACAAATGTGTGACTTTTAAGTTGAGTGGTTTTGTGCTTTCTGCATGTATATTTGTTCATGCTTTAGAAATTCACCGCATTTAAAAAATGTAATCACAGTATTCGCACTGACCGATCAGATACAGATTGAATATAATTCACTCTTTTCTGTGCATTAATTTGGATCAACCACAAAGAGTATTACATGATAGAAACCACAGCGCTATAGGGCCCAATCTATCACTGATGTATACCACGTTTACAGCCAGCCACCAAAGCATTTGCCATGCTTGTTTGGAGGTTTAATGCTTTTAGCTGAGTTAAATGGACACCAGTGTTATTAAACCCCAGAAGGCAAAGCATGTTAAATTTTAGTTCCCTACCAGTCTGGGATCCAACAAGGCAAGGCCAGTCTTAGTCTATTACGCTGTGCCAAATGAAAAATGCCCTTGGTCCAAATGTGTTGAAAATGCAGCTTTCCTTGTATTAAATGTAAAATGGTTATTTTTATAGCTCTACTTTTTCTGACTGAAATTATTGTACATATTGTAAATACAATCCAAATAATAAAAAAAGAACCACAAACTCAGTACAAAATGCTTCTCTTGTGTTATTGCATCTTGCATCCTGTGTGTGTAAAATTAAACAACAGTTTATTAGGTGTACAGAGATGATCGATTATATAAATCAGTGGAGGATATATGGTGTAGTATTTTCTTAAATTTGGTATGCAGCAGTGTAAACAAAATGGGTGAACCAAAGCGTGAAGAGTTTTTACTACAGAGTCACTGGATCTGTTCTGAAGCTGATGTTGAGATCAAGTTCAGATTCTCCCTGCAGCAACTCCAGCACCAGACCGTCAGAAACCAAAAAAATCTTACTCCTAACATGGCCACAGAACTTTCCACCCCACTGGTGTTCCTCTGACTGTACAGTATGTTCAAAGAGGTTACGCCACTACTAATGCCAGCATACTTCAAGCATGGATCACATTTCAAAAATGTTTGGCCCAGAGTCCAGTAAGGCAGAGGTCATCATGGGGAAACATTCAAGTAACGGTTTTGTGGTTGTTTGAGATCAGGAGCATGTGAGACTCACGCAGCTAGTTCTAATAATAGATGGCTTGTGTTGTGGCATATATTTTCACTAAATAAAAAGAGAGGCAGCATTCATGTCAGATGTTAGTAGTGAAAGTAGAGTTAAACTCAGCAGTTGTTTTATATATATTATTTATTAGTTTTAACTAAGCATGCAGGTGGTACATTTTATTTGGCAATTTTATTCTGAGAATGCTCTTCTGTTCTTGTTGTTGAATGAAAGGGTGGCAGATGTCAAGTGAGGCTCGTTTTACAGTCAGTCTCATGTTTATACATGTCCAACAGCAATGGCTCTAAATATGGTCATTGAACCAGGTTGTTTACCCCCAGGCCACCACAGCTACATCGAGGAGTGGAAAGAATCCAACTGTGCCCTTCTCCTTATCTCACGCTAACAAAAGGCTGATAAACTCTCCATAGCAACAGGAACAACAGCTACGCTGCAGGGACAAGAATGTAATGTCCAATACCTGCATGTCAGTGTGCACGATACATCTAATGCATAATCTCTTTTGTACATCAGGTGTGCAACGCGTACAAAAACAAATGGAACAAATAGAGGAAAAGGTTGAGTTCAACCATCCATATCTGTGGAACATAATACAGTGATTCCCAACCAGGTATACTTGTGCCCAGCGGATAGTTCTGCAGGTGCGAAGGGGTATGTGGAAAGATTCAAGATGGAAGATTCAGCTAATAAAAAATAGAAATTATAATTTGAACAATGTAATGTTAATATGTAATGACATATCGAGTCACCTGTCATACCTAAACACCAGGTGTTTCGGTTGAAAGTGCGGCCATTGTCAGCAAGTTAGCAAAGCAGTTGACAGCTAAAGTTAATGGGAAATGGTTCTAATAGAGCTCAAAAAAGTGGATAACAGTTAAATAGTTAGCTAAAAGTGATGGATAATGGTTGACATACATAAAGTAATGGATAGCAGTTAAACTCCTTAGCTAAAACTAAATGATAAATGATTGAAATACATCAATTAATGTCAGACATAGTAACTGGATCATTGGAAATAGCTGAAAGCAATGGATAAATGAAATAAAAAGTTAAAAGTTATGGAAACAGAATATCTTTCTTCTGCCACTTCAAGTAGGTGTACAAATGGAACCTTGACCTACTAACTTTACCAACGACAATATCCACTTTAATATAATCAGTAGTGTTAAATTACATCCACTTTAAAATCACTTCAAATGAAGTCATTTGATACAGGATGGGTGATGTTGATGAAGGGAAATCATATTGGTATTGTGTGGGTATGTCAGACAAAACCACTAAAACACAACAAAGGTTACACTTACACTGATGTATGGGGATAAACAACCTGCCTCAGCGTTGTCAAATCCCTCAGTGACCTATGTCCTGGTGCCCTTGCTGCTGACACCATCCACATGTACATGTGTGTATGTGAAAGTGGCCTGTCAACACTGTAACTGGCAGCAGTTACATGCTGCCACACCAAGTATTTTCATGAAGAGCTGGTTATGATTTCACAGAAGTATGGCAGTTGGAGTGCTCTGGCTGCTCTGTCACTGGAGTGTTTATTTCATGAATGTCATGTCAATCAATGCCTGCAAGTGCTGCGAGTTCCTGAAATGGAGCATGTGATGTACTGTTGCAGTTTTCCTCTTCTCCAATTTCAGGCAGTCGTCTGGTCACGAAATCCATGCTGAAGCACTGAACGACTATCCTGTTTTCTTTTCAATTACTGAAAACAACTGGATCATCATGATGATGGGGTAATGCTGCAGACGTTGGGTTGCTGCTGTAACCCTCTAGTGGCCTGTTTAGTGGAAACGTCGACTTCTTGGGTAGATTAGTTTGCACACATACACATACATTTAATCTCTCAAGTGAGCAGAAGTTGCTGTATGTGAGAAAAGAAAGAATTCAATTACATACTCCTTGCAGCTGTCTTATCTCGGATTTCACAGAAAAGTTCATTAAAAGAAAATATAGCTCTTCTGTAAAATCACATTTTTTTGTTTTCAAGAAATTTTAATACTAGCTTCATCGTTCCTCCAATTTAATTAACAGTAAACAGAAATTTCACATCCATCTTAAAGGTCATCACTGTCTCCAAGTATATAATATGTACTACATCACAGAGTAGTTTAACATTTAACAAATCTGATTTACTCATCACTGGTTTGTACACTTGTAGTATTTAAGCATAATTTTATCATAAGCTGCATCATCATAAGCTGCAGTGCACCCATGAATGCTGGTGTGACCGTTTTCACACTTCATCTATCTGTGGTCAGTGTGGAGTAACTGTACTGAAAAAAGAACTACTTTTACAGTTTTACAGCACTCGCTGCTGACCATACAAACCAAAAAACTGCGAATGCTATACTAATTTCATGTCTACATTTGCAACTAGTCTGTGAAAAGTAGCACCTAAACTCAGTGGGAAAGATGCTGTTAAACTGAAGTCTGTAATTTCTCCTTTGTTTGGGCTTTACTGTGTCACACACTGATGAGTATATAAGGTCATTTTTGGACAGTGGTTGAGTTTCCTAGCATCCTGATATGAAAAGGTAAGCACTTTGAAAATTTCTTCATGCATAAAATACACACTTTTAATATAGATCTTGAATACTGAAAAAGCTAGTCAGACATATTTAATATGATTTGTCATGTTTATGATTTATTTTTATTACTTTTATCACTTATATGGCCTCCATCCTGTGAACTGTTCCATACATGCCCTAGTTAAGGTATATTTACATTCATGTCACAGATACTACCTGTATTGTCTTCCTGTAGTGAAAGTTGTTTGCTAAATTGAGCTTTTTTTTAATGTGATTCTCGTCTAATTTTGTTGTCCATGCTTGTAATTCATGTGTCTGAGAATGAATCACATAACTGAATATGCATACCACTGTCAAAAATGGTGCAAACAATTAATTATATAAAAAAAAATCGAGTTAAATACAAAACCATTCAATAAAAACTACCATACATAAAATTACACCTGCATAAAGTTCAAAATTTTTTGTCTTTATTGCTAAGAATTAAGCAATAACACATGTTTTTTCTAGCTAAAAAAGTGACATTATTTTGCCTGTCAACATGCTGTTTGTTATTTCTACAATGTACCTGGATTGCAATTCATTAACCAACACTACAGTTAATCAGTCCACATCTATCATACGCATAGTTGGGTAGAGTAGCCAAAAACTGTGCTCAAAACTGTGCTCAAGTGAAAGTACTGTTACTTTTCAAATCAAAGTACTTGAGTGGAAGTAAAAGTGATCATCAAAATAACTACTTGAGTAAGAGTACAAAAGTACTTCCTAAAAATTTGCTTGAGTAGCGAGTAACTTTGTGAGTAACTCAAGAAATAAAGATAAATCCACATGAAATAAGAGTCTTTTTGTGTGCGCATAATTTGGTTTGTCTTCATCAGGCTACACCAATGAGCAAATGCAGACTGCTGGTACACTGTTAGCTTGAATATTTACATCAAGACAGAAAGCAGGAGGAGTTTTTAAGCATGATATAGCCTACTGTGTTTAGCTATTTATCATTAAACACATTAACACCACAGACACTGCTCTCTGTCAGCTCAGTGTCAGCCCGGCGTAGCCTACTGACTTCCCAACCGAAACCTGCTGCACCAACACAGTCTCATCCCAGGGCGTCACATCAAATTTTAATCTGTAGCCTAAATATTAGCTGCTAGGGCTGTTTGAAAGCCATATACTATGCTGTAGTTTAGCCATTATTCTGCTCTAACAGAGTCATGTGGAAACAAAGTAAGGACTAAAAATACTGATTTTTCTCTTAAAAAACTACTCAAATAAGAGTAAAAGTATGAAGCATTAAAACTACCCAAGTACAATTTACTCAAAATAAATTACTTGAGTACATGTAAATGGAAACTCGTTACCCACATCTGATCATAGTTACATCCAAAGTAGAAGCAAACATTACTTAATTAACTATTTAGATTTATTGAATTAGATTTATTGAATTAGATTTATTGAATTAGATTTATTGAATTAGATTTATTGAATTAGATTTATTGAATCAAAGTTGTTCCTTTTTTGTATAGAATAGCCTGCATTTATTTCATAGTCCTTGCTCATTTTTCCTGTTAACACTGTCTCACATTACATTGTTCTCATTAATACATGTAACCAGTATCTATCTATTTTATTCTCATAATTCAAACCTCATGCCCAGTATTTGACTTTGATCAAAAAAAGGAAAGACCTCCAGGCATCTGTACATAAATTATATGTTCCTCCAAAAATTGTAGATATTAATACAAATAGTAATTCCATGTGATTACACAGTGAGTGAGTGAGAAACCATATAAATGTCATCTTTTACATAATTACTGTGCAACTGTTGTTTTCCCCAGATGGTTGTCTTAGCTGTGGCTGTGTTTGTAACGTTATCAGCTTGTGCAGTTTGCTGCCCGGGGAACAAAAATTCTGTGAGTATGAGCTTTGTTTGAGGCCAGAAGGCAAATTTATACATTATGCAACACAAGTTTTCCGTTTTCCCAGATGTTGGTTAGTACAGACAGAGCTGTGCTGAGCTTCTGTCACACTGAACTGAAAGAGAATAGAACATTACATTATATTAAAACCAATTACTTACAAAGTCGTGTAACAAACTCAAGTTTTGTTTGACACGTAGTTACATTTCCTTTCTCTGCAGACTAAGCTGAAGATTCAGAGCATGGAAAATCAACCTATGGCTTTGCAACTGGCTGCTGTGGTCAAGGTGATATGAGAAACCGTATCTGTTACCTGATCAGCTGAATAACTGCTAAGTCATTAGGCAGAAAATTTAACTGTTTTGATAATTGTTTCTGGTAATTTTCAAGGAAATGTACCAGACATTCTCTGGTTCCAGCTTCTAAAGTGTGAATATTTGCTGCTTTTCTTAGAATTTTCTGTCCATAATTGTAACATCTTTGGGTTTTGGCCTGTTGTTCGAACAAAAGAAAACATTTGATGACATCAGTCACAAAGGACTAAAGGAAATTGTGACATTTTTCACTTATCTAACATTTTATAGACCAAAGAATTATTAGATTAATATAGAAAATAATTTTCAAAGAGACATAAAGAGTGCAAAGTTTCCCCGATACTCTCACGCACAAATTAAATGTATTACCAGCCACCAAAAGTTTTAATTTTATTCACTCCTTTAACCTTTTAATTATATTCTTTGGTAAATCTCATCTCCCTACTTTATTATTTAACTGTGTTTTAAAGCTTTCCGTACCATGCCAGTTATGTAATTCTGGTAGAGAATACAAAAAAAAAATCTTTCTTTACTTTTTGCCCAAAAAAATCTAATTTAAAGATATTTAGTCTTCAAGAAATACAAAAGTCCTGCCTCTGCAACATCTGAACTTAATCCTTAAGTATTATGAATCTGTAAGACTTTGCTGGCTGTTTAAATAACATGTCAATCTTTGCTAAAAATATTGCAGGAGATGGAGAGTCTAAGGTGTGAACAAACAACACTTAAGCAGCAACAAAATGCTCTGACTCAGGTAGCCTCAATATAATGCCCTTACAATCTGCCTCCATGCTGTGCATCACTACTGAACATGTAATTTTCCTCATTCACAGATGCATATAACGAGCCATCAGAAAAGTGCTCAGAAGGAAGTCGGTGCGTTGATGAAATAACAGCATTCTTTATATGGAGTAAATTAATCTACAACATTCTCTCTCAGTTTTTTATGAGTTGCAATCTGCTGTACTCTGTAGATCTAATTTTGGTGGAAAATCTCTTCTCGAGCAGGAACAAACATCCTAACTTATGGTTCAAATGATGAGGAAGACAGCCTGCCTTTCTTTGAGGAAGACTCAAGGAAGCAGCGTGACCCCTGCTTCCACTACACAATCCTGGACCAGGTCTGGCGTGCCACCAACACTACCACCAAGATTAAGAAGTGTGACCGCCGCAGCAAATGGAAAGGTAGCTAGATTTATGTATTTATGCAAATGTAAATACATTTACTTTAATGATGATGACATATCTGACATATCTGTTTTTGTAAGGCTGGTACCGCCTCTTCTACAATGGTAAGAGTCTTCAGATGCCTGAGAGGTGTATCCCTGTGGACAAATGTGGCACCCACTCCCCGCTGTGGCTGGCAGGGCCTCATCCGAAGAGAAGGGAGGGCATCGTTACCCGCAGAGTGTGTGGCCACTGGAAGAAGAACTGCTGTGCTTTCCGTTCCCCGCCCATCCAGGTCAAGAAGTGTAGTGGCAACTACTATGTCTACAAGTTCACTGAGCCGACAACTTGTGATCTGGCTTACTGTGCAGGTATTAAGTGAGGATGGTGTCATTCCCAAACAGTACATTTGCACATTTTTTTAATTGTGCAAATTTTTGCACATGAATTTATCGAAAGGTTTTCAAAATTCTGATTATTTTTCAAACCTTTCAAGTGGAGACAGATTTGGTCTTAGTAATTTATTTTATTTTCATGAATACACTTCCTTAGTAACATAAAAGTAATATTTTCCAAAGTGTTTATTTTAAAAAAAAAGTGTTCTTTTGTGGGGGCCAAAATTAGATCCTTACTTTTATACATCCTTTGGTTCCAAATATGTTTTAATGAAAAAATAATTTCCAGAAAGTACATGGAGTACACATAACAATAATCAGTGAACAGTTCATTAAGCCACAGTGTGACTATGAGTCTCGATTTCCTTCATGAGAATGTGTTTTTATGGTTGAGCAGTTGTGTGTGTCTTCCTAAATTTGAACATTATTTCTAAAATACCCCAAAAGAGTAATACAGGGTTCAATATGTTTAGTATAGATTGCAGAATGTTTAAGACCATTAGTCGTAAGTGTCATTAACACTGGGATCACGTCCCCACCACATTTTGAAATGGCTGATTCCATCATCACGTCATGTGACCCAAGTGTATCATCACGCCCCTGATCTGAGTCCTTATGTCCCCACCACTTTACAACACAAAGTGCCATTAGTTTTCTGATTTGGGACAAAGTACAAAGTTGTGGTAGTAGGTTTGGCTCACCCAAACTACATTTATCACAATGTCACATCATGTAGTTTAGTCTTTCAGTAGTCGAGTGTGTGAATGATTTTAATTTGAACAAGGCAGTGTCTAGGACTAATAGAACCAGGGTGGATCTCCCCACAACTTTGTTCCTAAATGTCTTCAGAGATCTGAGGTCCCAGCTCACTGTTTCACAATTCGTCTTGATTGCACATCTTTTGATAAAAGGTTAATCTCAATGATGCTATGTGTCTGTTCTCAGATATCAACACACTTGTATGTGGGCGATGCTCAAGAAACCAGTCCTGTGTGAGTCGAGATAAGATTAACTGGAGGTGTAAGGGAAAGAAAAGAAGTAAGTTATCATTTTGGTTTTTGGCACATTCACATACTAATGTTGGGGATCTGACTTTTTAGGGGGAGAACAGTTAAGAGTATTTTCATACTATATTTTACGTTAGCCTTCCCTTGTCAAATGTATGTATGACATAATTTAATCAGTTTGGGTATGTTAGACAATCAGGCATTTTAAGTCACAAATGTCAGATCAAAAATATTTAAATTTAGAATTTTATTTTAGTTACTAATGGTGAAAATGATTGTACTAACTACATTTTTATATAATTTTGAGATATTGGGAGGTGCTGGAGTGTTTTTTATAAGAAAAAGGGAGGGTCCGAATAAAATATCTTGCCTTGTAAAAAATCATTAACGCCTCCCAACATTAATAATTTTCACACAGTCCCTAATGTGTCATGCCCCTGATATATAATATGAATGCAAAACACAAAGAGCTTCATCTCACCTCACCATTGATTATCTGTCATAATAATAATAATGATAATGATAATAACAATAATATCTCCCCTTCTTTCAGTGTCTTCCAGAAAGATCCACTTCTTTGCTTCTTACCCTGGCCAACTCAATGGTAAAGTGAACAAAATCAAGTACAGCAAGGTGCTGGTGAATGTAGGCCGAGCCTTTGACAGAAGGACCGGAGTGTTCAGTGCGCCGGTGAAAGGAGTCTACCAGTTCTTCTTCTCCACTCAAACAGCCAATACTGGTCTGAAGACTGATCTGTGGCTAGTAGTCAACAACTACTGGGTAGCTGTCTCTCGCACACATCTTTCCCGTCCCTCCACTGTTGGTAACTTGTCTACGTACATGACCTTCCTCCGCAAAGGGGCTAAAGTGTATGTCACCCACAACTGTGGTAGGTCTTGGGCCAATGCTGCCTCCATGACCATCACATTTGGGGGCTCACTGCTTGTACAAATGAAATAATGTATTTTATTTTACATCGCATTACTTTTTGTATATTCATAATGTATCCTTGGAAAGAATGGGAATTGTATTTCACCTAAACATGGTTTTGTTGAAACAAAGTTTAATCTCTCTCTTTGCCATTAATTCAAGTTGTTTAACATTTATATTTTATATTTTATATTTCAGTGATATCTGGATTCATTGTAACTGTAAAGCACTGTTTCAGCTAAATTATTAAGTATTGCCTAAATGATGTCTGACTTAATGCTTACATGTAAAGATTAAAATAAAAAAGAAATTAAAAGTGTTTATTCCACCATTATTTTAATCTAACATTGTTCTGCACGCATAGGTGTAAAATTATTAACGAGCCCCAGACCATTGCAGATGTATTGCTAGTGTCAATAAATGATGGTGATTATCAAAATGATTTTATCAGGTCAGTCAAAATGTGAAATGTTAATATTTTATTCTTTCCTGAGATATTATATATATTTTTAAATCCTTTCTATCGAAAACAGGCCCTTGCCTCTGTCTTACACAAGATGGCGAACTAACACCAGTATAACCCTACTGAACAAGGTAGCAGTCTGTTCTTGCTGTTCAGCTCCTTGACTTAGCGTTGGCAGATCAAAGGACAAGGTTTACACCTGAAACTTCAACTAATAATAGTTCAAAGTCAGTGGGTTGATTTCAGAATGCTGCAGTCTCTGTATCACTATATTTAGCTGTACTTTTCATTCATATCCAATTGAGAAAATTCTAATGAGCCCTAATTTTTCCTTTTATGGTAACAGCGGGCATCATAAAAGTCAGGCCAAAACATTATTCTTTTCCTCCGAGTGTTTTACAACTTAGAGGTGGCCCCGTCATCGCTGAAATATGTATCAGAAACATTGGAGCTGTGGTCTTCAGAAGTATTTGCTTTTCAGCGCACACACAGGGCCAGCCTGACCAACACCTCTCCGCAGGGCGGGGCTTTGAGGAGGTGGCTTTAATCCCATTGGTCGATGGTCGGTCAGGACGACAGGCGAGAAACTCCAGGAAAACGGACCGAGCTGGCGCACGGTGTAAAGGGATAAGGATACATTTCGGCGTAAAGAAGAAACTTTGTATGGACATGAGGACATTTAGGGATGATTTGCTATTTCTAATAGGAAAGCTATAAGGTTAAATTTAAAAGGGAAAACACACGTTTACCATCATTTACATTCACTTTTTTATAGCTACAGGTCTCTTGACCTTAATAAACATGAATGAAATTACAGTTTGACTTTGACCGCACGAATGAAAATGCGCATCGACTACACTGCTGTCCACTGAGGAGAGGAGGTGACTAGAGAAGCCCGCCAATGTTCGCCTTCTGCCGGCTCTTCACAGCAAGTTGTTAAAATATTTTCCCACGAGATTCAGCAAGAGAAGGGTATAACTTATCAGCATGGCAGAGCACGAGAGCCTGGAGTTTGGAAAAGCAGATTTTGTGCTTTTGGACAATGTGTCTATGGAAGAGTTCATGGCTAACCTAAAACTCAGGTAAGCGGCCATTCACCTCAGTAAATCCACTTGTTAGGCACTTTTACTCAGGAGAATGAAGGTTGAGGGAAAACGTGTATCTCATTAGGTAGCTTTAGTATCTTATATGTCATTTCAGTCGGAAATGTGTGAAATTGTTAATTTTTTAGCCCCTCAACAGATGCTACCTGTTGCTCATTCAGAGTTTCTCTTGAAATGTTCAGCATTGGCCCCCGCTTAAAATATATTAACAGGCAGAACTTGACCAAAAAGCCCCGCATGCCATGCATGCAAATTGCACCTGTCTGTGTTTGAATATTGACCTTCGCGTGTGAAATCTTGTATGTTTGAGCAGCTCTTGAATGCAGCAACAATACTGTACCTGTAAGTCATTTATATTAGTGTTGTTAGTGTGAGGCTGCATTCATTAGAAGACTTGTTTCGGTCAAAACCAGTAATTCTCTTTAAAAAGAAATGGTAAGCGAAAATCCACCCCAGGCTGCAGTTTGTCCAGATTCTTGTGCAGACCGGTTTTTTTTAATCAGCTGTGTTGTCTGTGGCTCAGTTTCAAGCATGATGTCAAGCATGCTTTGTGAATGAAGAGAGTAATGTGGGTTAATATTACGTTTCAAATGGGCTGTGGCTTTCCTCACCTCTGCCATCTGTAATGAAAGTGTAAGCTGATCCCTGATGTCAGTTTGAGGGAGCTTTTTGTGAGTTGCTGAGCAGAGCTTGGTGGTTGTGGACACTGTAAAAGGAGATCATTAGTGTAGCTTTCCACAGTAAGAAACTCCCTTGACTGCAATAAGTTAAAGTAAAGTTGCCTTGTTAGTGGATCTTTGGCAGGTGATAGAACAGTTGCCTATCTGATATCACAGGGAAACGTTATGGTGTAATATTACACCATTAAAATTATGCTATTGTGCAAGTAGACAAATTCTAAATTTAAGGATGTAGATAACAAAAATATGTCCCTGAATTGCATGTTACATACAGGTCAAAGGTCTTTTAGGAGCTGGTATTGGTCATCTAGCTGCTAGGTCTGCAGATGTTCACAAATTGGAATGGTTGGTTAATTTTAAGATGTTTTAAGATGGACTATTAAATTAGTCATAACTTTCTATAGGTTCTTACTACGCTTTATCAGTAATCTATAATATAAGACTATTGATCCTCAGAGGGGAAATGTCCTCAAGACATCATCTCATTTGTTATAATTTCTCGATGCTGCCTGCTGTGGGTGATGAAATGAATTATCAAGAAGTCAGTCCCAGTAGAATATTCTAGGCACAGTGCCAGCGATGGCTTGTAGAATAAATATTTGGAGGATCTTAACAATGCAGTTTTCTCCTGTTGGCTAATAGGCTGCATGGTTTCCCTTCTATGGCGAAGTAGAGTGAGCTACAGAGTTGCAACAATTAATCAATTGTCAACTATTAAATTAATTGCCAACTATTTTGATGATCGATTAATCAGTCTTTTTCTAATTACTAAAATAGGAATATTTTGTGGTTTTCTTTACTTCTTTATGACAGTAAACAGAATATATTTTGTTTGCGGACAAAACAAGACATTTAAGGATGTCATCTTGGGCTTTGGGAAACACAGATGGACATTTCGACCAAACAACTAATCCATTATTGTGAAAATATTCAATTATACAAATAACCATTAGTTCCAGCTCTATTACAGGCCTTAAGAAGGAATATCTTCAACAACAAAAGGGCTTGATTCCTTTTCTGCCATCAGGGTGATAAATTAAGACTGATCGTACTGTACTAATGCAGACCCTAAAGTACAGGGACCAGTATTTTACAAAACAACTTATTCCAAGTTATTCAAACTATTAGTTCTTTATGTGGGATGTTGCTGTATTTCATAATAAATAAAAATCCCTGTGAATATATCTTAATCAGGAAGCTCGATCATAATTGAGTTAAAAATCAAGAATGACGTCTCAAACTCAATATATATTAATTATTATTAGCTTCAAAGACTGAAAGATACATTGGTTTGCATCACCTTTAACATGTTTCCCTATTTAACAGGTGCCCTTAGTTTTCTGTTTACACTTGGGGAAATCACTAGGTTTACATGTTTCTTTGCTCATGGATGAGTTGCTCAACCAACTTTTGGTACAGATGCCACAATGATCCTTTTTTTCAGTACCTTAATTTTGAGGAATGTTCATTTAACAAAACAAACCAAATTCTCTAACACAGTAGTGTTTAATGTTGTATTAAAACAAGCAGCCATAGTCGAAATGAACTAGTCAAAATCAGGAAATGTCATTTTCAAGCAAAGATGCCACACATCAAAATATTTCCGTGAGAATTTGCTGCTCCTTGTCTACAGGGTACAGTAAATTGAATATCTTTTTTGTTTTAGGCTGTTGGTTGGGCTAAACAAGACATTTGCTGATTACCTTGGACTAGAGGGGAACTGTGAAGGGGAACCATTTTTCACACAACACAGATATTCGATTAATTGAGAAAATAATCAGCAGCTTCATTGACAATGAAAGTAACCATTAGAAGTCATTAGGTTCAGCCCTAAACTTGAATGTGTACATCCAATTAAAAGTAAAGCTGAAAATGTCTGAGGAGAGACAAGTGTGCATGTTTCACTGAGAATAAGGCAGCTCTGGTTGACAGTGTTTTTATAGCCATACCTCTTAAATTCGATAAGCTGCGGTTGCGTGTACAGTAGCCCTGGCAGCCAGGCAAGAAGACCTGAGAGCAAACACACAGCCCCCGGCCTCATTTTCCCATCTCCCTCCCATTTTCTGTTTGCTTTCCCTCCAGCTAGACAGATTGGTCCGGAGATGGCGTGTGCAGACTGTTATTTGTAGAGGGTGTGACCAGCCAGGAGTGCTTCCTTTTTGCTCCTTTTCCATTAGTCCGAGCATGCATGCATGTGTGAGTGTGTTTGCCTGAGTGGAAGTGGACCACTTTTAGGAGGGATCCAGAGGGCATGAGGCATCTAGTGGTCTCCATTTTTCCTGGTACAGTTATCCAAAACTAAGTAGGTCTTGAGCACATCTGCACATCTCTCCTGGGTGTATTTTATGCTACATGTGGGAACTGAGCCTCACAGTTATAATGTGCTGCACACCAAAGCTCAGCTCTAGACCCACTTAACAAAATTAATTTATTTGAACTGTTTTACATGTACCAGAAGAGGCTTTTGTGCGTGCTTCACCTCTCCCATTGAGAAGCACATTGTTCACTCCTCCAGAACTTCTGAAAACCCCCAAACATTTTTATTTGAAGTAGGTCAAAAGCCGAGCTTTGGTGTACCTCCAGCCTTCATTTACCCGAGTTTGACTGGAAACCAACTGAATTACACTGCTATGCAGGGGATTTCTACTTGAGTCAATAAATGCTTGCCATGTTGAGGAGGTAATCAGGTCCCCAAGTGGCTTCATGTGCGGCATATTTGGGAAAAGTCTGCTAGTTTCCACTCAGCCTGGCAGGACATGGTTGTTCAAGTTGATATTTACTTTGTTTGAATTAAGGTTGAACTGTGTGGCCTTTTCCAGAGAGCCTCCCAGTCTCTAAATAAAGCCCAGCAGATGCCCAGTCTCTTGTAGAGATGTCTCGTAGGATAAAAGTTCAAGCCATATTCCTGAAGGGTCTTGGGAATTTTGCCTGATTTGGTCAGTCAGCAGATAAGGCTTCTTAGACCAAAACTGTGCGACACAGCCCGTTGTATCAGTGTGTGTGTATATGTAGTAGAATCAACTGATATGTGATTAAAAATGACGGAAAAATACAGCGGATTACAAACTGAAGGATTCTTTGTTTTTTAACTGTGATTGCTCTCTCCTTTTTTAGATTGATATTTACTTGATGTCCATAGGGATGCCACAAGTCAGTCACACTGTAGCTAAAGAAGAGTTCCCCAACAAATGACAGGGATTGAGTGTCTTTCTCAAAAGCTCCTCAGCTGGATGGACACTTTGAGTGCTTGACCATAGATCCCCTGGTACTATCTATCTTAACCTGTCTAAATGAAATAAATGGTAATTACAGGAAGCTACTTTAAACTTGCAGTAGTGAGCAAAGGCTCCCTGCATATGGTCCTGTAAGCTTACAGTATGTGTGTGTGTGTATCCCACCAGCCAGGCACAGTTTTACTGCAGCTAAATGTCTTTATAAGGCAGCGTTGTTTTGTCTGTCCCTTGAAACCCAGGAAAAACACATTCCTGCCAAACTGCTTTGTGTTTCCCAAATAATTATGGAAGGACTTTTTTAATTCTTCTTTTGTCTGATATTCCTCCTTTAAAAAAAAAAAAAAAACTGAAAAGGATTACACAATGAAAAATTACCTTTTTATCAGTTTTTGTGCAGATGAATGAAAATTGGTCAAGAATAACTTGACACGGTCTGAGGTTCACAGGACTGGATGTTTGTTTTAATCGGGTGCGGCTTATATCCTGTAGCAAAACACAATCAGAGGCCAAGTATGTGCGCTATTTGAAAGTCAGCTTAATAAATAACACAGACCGAATTGCCCGGATCTGGTATGCACCGCTATCTGGTACAAATGTGTTTAACCAGAGCTCAGGACTACACATTCATTGTTTTTTTCAAATGGGCTAGAGATAATCAATTTCAAGATTTATATCTATAGAAAATTATGTCCGAATAAGTGAAAATATTGTGCTGAAATTCTGAAAGCTCCTGTTTTTTTTAACTGTATGAACTGCTCCGAGTGATTTGACCTTTAAACCCAGCTACGGGGAGTTAAAGAGGACTTGAACAGGAAGTCTCCAATAATATAGAGCAGGCCAACGAGGCAGGAAAGCTGGCATTTCCCCTTGCCTTTGCTCCTCACATTTCATTGTTTCCTGCAGCACCTCTTCCTAGCTACGTTTGGAATCTTATGTGCAGACACTAGACCGGCACGTGTATTTGGGATTCAAAGTTGTGTGTATTTCATTTTTAGGTAGCATGGACATATGCTCTGAAGAGTTGCATAGCTCAAATACAAGCCTTTGAAGTTGCCACTGTTTCTGG